AAAGAGGTTAAACAACCCGTTTCCTGCAGGCCATCTTATTTAAATGTTAAAGAAGAAAATGACAAGGGTGCTAGAATTTGTTTGCAGACAACTCAAACACTTTACTTGTTGTCTTTGTTGTTAGATGCTGTCGAGTTGGCTCCAACTCATAGCAACCCTGTCTGCACGACAGAATGAAACACTGCCCAACCCTGCGCTAACCCATCTCATTGGGGGGGTGGGGGGTGTCTTCTTTTATTTCAGTGACCCTCCACTTTACCAAACACGATGTCTTTCTCCAGGGACTGGTTCCTACTGATAACATGATAGTATGTGAGTTGAAATCTCGCCATCCTGGCTTCTAAGGAGCATTCCAGCTATACTTCTTTCAAGACAGATTTGTTTGTTTTTCTGACAGTCCCTGGGACTTTCTTCACTAAGACCATGATTCAAATGCATCGATTCTTTTATAGCCTTCCTTATTCATTGTCCAACTTTCACATGCATATGAGGAAATATGAGATTGTGGACCAGGAAGAAAATCCTAGAATAATTAATCTGTCAGGCTTGCTCTTATTTATTTATTTTTTTAAAAAAAGGACAACTTCTAAAAAGACATATAGGAAAGTACCAATATTTCAAAAGACGACACAATTTACATTGATGGAAGTGGAACAATTCAGAAAGGGAGAGTGAGAATGGCTGTATAATGTAAGGAATGCAATCTATGCCATGGAATTATATGTGTAGGAATTATTGAACTGCTAAGTGGTTTGCTATGCATATCTATATTACAACGGAAGCAAATGATTTTATATTATTTAAATTTGAATAAGTGAAAGGAGTAATAGCATGTATAATAAAGTCCATCTGCTTTCAGAGTCTACATTTCTAGGTACAGTTCCTGTGGGGATTGAAGCTAACTTTTAGACCTAAATTCTTCTTAATCAATGAGAACATTGGTGCCAATGAGGATGGACTGACAATGATTTCTTCTGGGGATGATGAAAATATTCTAAAGTTAGATTGTATCGATAGTGCACAACTCTGTAAATATACCAAAAGCTATACATTTATACTGTCTGAATGGGTGAACTTTACTGTACACATATTATATGTACACATGTTGTATGTTATAATATATATATGTATCAAGGAAAGTAAAGAAGATATACAAAACCATATAAGAAACTGAAGAGATAACTTAATAATCTTCCTTTTACAAAGGCACCAGGGAAT